GGAAAAGTACCAACTTGATCTATTTAATTAATACGGTAATTTGGGTTTTAATATTTTATCAATGCCAATACTATTTGATTGTATTAATGCGTATTCACTTAATAATGGAAAATAATATGATAATGAAGATAATGTTGTGATAATAACTTTTAATAGAGATTTGTCTTTTGTTGAATCATAAAAAGAAGTTAATTGTAACATTGAATATACGATATCTTTATATAATAAAATGAATTCAGATATATGGGCATCTAATAATAAATCAAATGAAGATAATGTACTAATAACAATATTAATTTGTTGTGATTTTAAACAATAACGAATAAAAATCATAAGCTCAGCTAATAAAGTAGGTGATTGAATAATATCTTTAATATATGTTTCATACAAACATAAAGTTTTAATAACACAAAAATTAATAGCCTCTTGATATGAAATGTCGTTGTATTGTCTTATTAAAGAAAAGAAAAGATTTCCATAAATTTTATTTAATATAAAAATACTTGTGTTAGATGTTATTGCATCATCTAATAAATCACCAATTGCTTTAGTTATTTCTAATAAATCAATTGGTGTTAATGATGATACATTTAAACAAGGAATTAATGTAATCCATAATAATCTTAAATGTTTTTCTTTAATAAAAATAGTGCCAAAAGGACAATTTGAAATAAGAGGAGGAGTTATCGGAATAATAAGTAAAGTTTTATAATGTAATAAATAATTTTTCTGAATAACAAGAATGAATTGAACAAATACCTTTCTAAATTCATAAAATGAAATCCAAAGAGTAAATAATTTTGGGAATAATTTATATAATTCTTTTACTTCTTGAGAAGGTTCACAAACAAGTAATAAACAAAATAATGTTTCTGACAATACTGAAATACATTGATAATCATTAATTAAAGAAGATTTCATAATTTTATAAAGAATAGTAAACAGAACTTTAAGTAAATGAACAACCAATTCTTGATTTATTTGTGTTGTTTCAGTAAATAAATGTTTTGATTCTCCTGAAGAAAGTTTTTTAAATAAATGAGCTATTTTCAATAATAAATCAACTCGTTCTGGGATATTCGATTCGTTTGAAGAAGAAAAAGGGAGAGTTAATTGATTAATCATTATCTTTAAAAATTCAGTTGTAATAATTTTATTTCGTGGAACCGAAGTCATCCAATCATCATAAATCTCTATTGCTTGTTTAATTTTTATTAAAGAATCACTTCTAATTCCATCATAAAAACATGCACCAAAAACTGATAATGTAAACATAAACTTATCTCTATTCACCTGTTTTTTTGACATATAGTTTGATGGAAATTTTGATGGGTCTTTTAATATCTCTTCTAATACTTTTTTACATAAGAGTGCTCTTGTTTCATTGCTAAAAATTAACAACCCACTATCCTCATTTGATGGAGCAATAAGTTTTAAATCTCCTGCATCTAGAATCATTATTAATCAAATAAACTTTTTATTTCTATTTTCAAGATCTAATTAGAATAACAATTATTATTATTTTTTTTGTTATTGTTATTTTTATATTAACCCCACACTAAAAATACTTGTTTCAGGACATAATATGAAAAAAAAAAGTAAAACTTGAAAATGAAGTAAAAAAAATTAACAAATAAAACTATTAAATTACTATTATTTAGAACCATCAAATAATTAACAGATTAATCCACTCAAAAAAAAATCATTAAAAAAAATATTATTAAAGAAAACTAAGATATTTTAAAGAAATTAAAAAATAACAGTAGTAAAAAATTATAAAAAACAAAAATAATTCTATAAAAAAAGTTAAAGAACGAAAACAAAAAATAAAAAAGAAGATTCTAATATTTCGATAATAAAAGATAGATAAAAGGAGATTTAAAAGAACTTTGAGTAACCATCTTTAAATCAGAAAATACTTTATTTAAATGCTTACTATACCAAGTGGCCAATTCTTTATTGTTGACAAATGGTATAAAAATATTATTAGTCATAAAGTATTTATTATTTGTTCAATTGTCTTAGTTATGTTTGCCTGTCAAGGTGATACTCATTTTTGTATATTTCAAAACCATGAACAACAGTGGATGAGTTTTATTTCCCATTCACAAATTAAAGAAGGGTTTGAATTTGGTCAGTTTAAAATCACTACTTTTAGTAAGAATGATGAACTTATGTCATATGAAGAATTACAAATACCAAAAAGTATTGGTGATAAGTTAAATGATTATTCTGTAATTGTGTGTCTTCATAATTGTGGTGCTTTAGCAATATGGTTTATGGCATTATTTGTTATGATCTTTTAATCTATTTATGTAATTTTATTTGTGTTTTATTTTATATTTGTTTTAAATAACATATATATTACTTGATTTTGATAAATTTATTTTAATTTATTTTTATTTGTTATTTTCTTTTATTATTTAGTAAAATTGTCTTTTATAACATTTTAAATAACAAATGAATTATCCTCTTTTTGGTAATGAAGGACGAACCATATGTGATACTGAAGCAGATGCTTTGGCTATTAACTGTTCCATTTCAACTTTATTTTTTGCCATTTTTTTTGCTTCTTTTAAATAATTACTACCTTTTATTTTATTTCCACTTTCTAAGAAAACATCGATAAGTGTAGGATTACCAGTTTGAGCTTGAGTAAATACAAGGGTAAAGAAGAATATTAAAAGAACTTTCATTAAACTCTTTAAAATAATATAATTTCTTCAGTTTTTTTTTAAAAAAAAAAATACATAAAATAAAAAATATAATAAATAAATTATTAATTATGGTTTTAAACTATCACGAATTTTTAATTTAGTATTTGGACTGTAAAATCACAACAATACAATGGATGATGAACAAAATATTTACAAAGAATCAACTCAAAATATACCATTTTTACAATGGCTTAATCAAAAAAAATCAAATGTATTTTCTCAATTATATAATTATATTCCCAATAATTATACCTCTCCTCAATTATACCCAAATGAATTTATAATTTTCTTAGGTGAATTATTTCCTCCCCATATTGTTAGAACTCAAACATCAAATTTTTTTGATGTTGCCATTACTCATATAAAAGCATATCCTGCATTAACTTCATTAATATATTTTGTTTATCGATCTAACTTTAGTGCATTACCAAATACATCTTTGAAATCTGATGGTGGATGGGGATGTACAATACGTGCATGTCAAATGTTATTAGCTAATGCAATAATAAAATTATTTGGTTCAGATAATATTAATAGGAAAACAGTGATTCATTGGTTTCTTGATTTTTATAATGTTGAATGCCCTTATTCTATTCATTCGTTATTTACTACTCAAATTATTGTTAGTGGAAATCCTAATGGTAGTTCTTTTCTTCCACTTTCAGTAGTAACTTATGCACTTACAGAATTAGTAAATAAAGATTTAAATAGAATATTTGAATGTCATGTAATAACTAATAAATTTTTATTAAATTCAATCAATAAACCAACCATTATTTTTATTCCTTTTACAATTCCAGATGAATTTAATCAAAGATTAATTAGTATATTTTCTTTTAATTTATTTGCTGGAATGGTTGGTGGTTGTAAACAAAAAGCGTTTTATTTCTTTGGGATACATCACGATCAATTACTTTTTCTTGACCCTCATTTTGTACGTCCATGTGCATCTTCTATTATGAAATTTGATGAAAAAGATTATATCGCAAAATTATCAGATATTAAATCCCTTCATATAAATGAATTGGAACGATCAGTTGTTTTTTCATTTGTTATTCACTCATTTCAGGAATTAACTTCTCTTCAAGAATTAGCAAAAAATGTTTTAGGAATTGATAATAAACAATTAACAATCAAACGAGAAGAATGTGATGGCTTTGAAGTTCTTGAATTTTAAATTTATTTTTAAATCTATCGTAAATATAAAACTCTCTATTTTTTTGAATTTTATTTAAAAATTACTGAAATTAGCATTCATTCTTTCAATAAATTAAATTTAAATTTTATTTTTATATGTAGAATCATGGAACGGAACTCCTTTTTTATTTCTTTCAAATATTTCTCTTCTTTAACAATCTATAGCATTTTTAATTTTTATTTATTTGAAAAAAGAGGAATTAATTTGAACGGAATTAACACTCTGTTAACTCAAAAACCCTTGTTATTTAATAATAATTTATTATTAGTAAAAATAACAAATTCGTTTGTTTCACATGAAGTAACTACAAAACTAAAAATGACGACACTTATTATAAGTTTTTATTTTAAACCGTTGACCTAAATATAGAATTCTATATTTAGGTAATGATAGACATGTACTATTTAAGGTGGAACTTAATGTTGTATTTATTAGTATTGCTTTGTAAGTATTATTATGTCTGAACAAATGATTGAGAGCAGAGAAAAATTTAATAAAATTGATCGTAAAATTCCAGTATTAAAAGCTTCAAGAGAATTTAGAAATGCCCAAACGATTCAACAGTCCATCCTTATTGGTTTACTAAATAAATATTGTACAATTACTATTGGCCAACCAGCTAAAAAAAGTACTGTTACTCAACAGTTTATGAGGATTATATCATTAGACTTTGGTGATAATGATATAATTCTTATGGATGATTTTCTTAAAAGTAGGTGTTTAGAACAAATGAACCAAGATACTAGAGATGGGGTTTCTCAAAAAACTGCATGGAGAAGATATCAAAATAATAAAAAAATTGAAGAACTCCATTTACTAATGGATATTCTTACAGAATATGGATATTATTTTACCGCTCATCCAATGAAAGGAAAGTCTGAAACAAAAAAATTGGATATTATTCATTCAGTTCATAAAGAAGATCTCGATTTTTCATTGAATTTCCTTCTTAATGAAGGAGAACGTATTAATAATTTAATATGTTCTCTTTTACAAACTAAAGACAAATCTATTGTCATTCGCACTAATCAACTTTCTACTCGCTTCTAACGCGAAATTACGCATGTTTAATATCATTATTTCTATCATTGATATTTTTAATTCTTTCTTATTATATTAATTATTGTTATTTTTATTTTTAACCTCCTTTCATTTAAAATTTCTTTTTTCTTTTCTTATATTTAATTATTCAAATCAAACAGTTAACAACTATTTTTTTTTTGTTTATCATCTTTAATACTTGAAATATACTTTAAGAAAATACTGACGTATTACCAAATTCTTCTTAAAACTTAAAAGAATTCACAAAAAAATAGGACAATCACTTCGTATTAATTGAATATTCTTATAAATTCATTTTTCGTGTTAACTTTCTATTTGTTAAAGCAATACTCAAACCCTTTTTTTACTACTACGAAATATTTATTATTAAAATTATGAATTCTTTTTTTTCATCTCAAAGAGAAAATATTGTTAATAAAACATTAAATAGTTTAATTTACTGAAAATAAGGTGTCACGTTTAAAAAATTGTTCTAGAATATGTCTTTTTAATATTTCTTTTTAAAGGTTAGTAAATTTAATAGATAAAATAAAAATATAACACTGAATTTTGTTTAACAAAAAAACCAAGAAGAAGATTCCTTTCTTTTTTTTATTATCTAGCGTTTTATTGCTGTTCTTTAGAGATAGCTTGATTTTTTCTACTTAGTTAATATAAACATTTTCATTGTTAAAAACTTCGTGTATTAATTTTTACTATGATTTATGTTACTTAATCTTATATTTATTCTTCTTCATTCTTAGTTCAACTATTATATTGAAATGGACAATAAAAAATACTATAACATTACCAAAGCTTTAATTCAATGAAATACCAACTGTGTTTCAACATTATTTTTATTTAATTTCTCTATCTATTCTAAATTAATTATATTTAACTCATTTACATATAATACTATTAACACTAATACATTTATTCTTATTATTATTTTTTTAAATTTAGTGTTCTGGAATTAGTATCACTCCGTTAAAGAAGACACCATAAGAGATAACACAAAGTTCTAGTTTATCAGATAGAGAAAATTTAAGTCTTCCACATTTATCGTAAAAGACTCCACTAGATTGGAGATATAAATGGAACAATATGAATATTCATTTTTTAGAATATACTCTTTGAATAATGTTATTTGTGACATTATTTTAATATTGAAAGAATTATACTCATAAATGAATCCAATAAATCATTTTGAGTAGGGGATTTTCTCTAACACAAACCTTGTTAGTACTAAGACTATTATACAACCACCTAAGTATAAAAATTATAAACCTTAGATGCTTGTATCTTAATTATTCTAAAACTTAATCTTTTTTTCGTGGAAATTTTTTTTCTCTTCATAAAATTTTACTCTATTGGTTGAAACTTACAACTTTCATCATTGAGACGTTAGTTTTTAATAACTTTGTATAATCTCTTTTTGTGCTTTGTACAAAATGATAATGACACTTACTTATTTTAATCATAAAAAGAATGAGCTAAAACGTTTCAATAGATAATATAAAAATTAAAATGACTAAAGTGTAAAACCAATATAATTAATTGACGTTTAATTGGAACATTAATTAAATCAATAGGAGAAGTTATGTTATTTGATTGTGTTGAACAATTAGCTGAAGGAAAAGTATTAAATGAATTTACTAGTTTAATACAGAATTTGAGTAATAACATTCCACAGAACGGGTATAATAGAGTAAATTAATTATTATTTCTTGTCATTCGTTGTTCTCTTTTCATCTCTCTCCACCACTTAAACAATTCATCATGTTTCCTAATAATTTCTTCTCCAACTTTACCTTTTTCACTAGTTATCCAAATCTTTTTTTGAATACTTTCTCGTTGTGTCTTGTCTATGTCCCATCGGTTAATAAGTCGTTTAATTTCTTTTTCTTCTATTTCTCTTAATTTCATTGGATTTTTCATGACTTTTTGTATCTCTTCCTTCCTTCGTTCTTTTGCCATAGCTATTGGATCCTTGCTTATTTTCTTTAGACAATCTTCTTTCTCATTTTGTTTTTCTTGTTTGTCTTCTTTTCTTATAATTTCTTCTTTTGGTTGTTCTTCAAATCCTGTTGGTGCTTCGTACATCCAATTAAGCCTCTCAACATACTTCTCTCCTTTTAAAAGACAATTCTTTTTTTCTTCTTCTTCTCGTTCAAGTTCTTCAAGACGTTCTTTCTTTAACACTTCAATTTGATGTTTTTCTTCTTCTTTGCGTCTCTCAGCTTCCCAGACTTTCTTTTGATTTGATAATTTCGCTGGATGAAAACTCTTTTTAGATAAAAATCCTTTGTTCATTGTCTTTTCTTTGAATTTCTTGTTTTTATAGTTTTTTTTATCCTTTTGAATAACTGACATTTCTTATTGTGGATTGAATATCAATCCCCTCATATTTTCTTTCACTCTTTATATTTTTGGCTTATTTCTAATTCGTGTAACAAGGACCATTTACTAATGACAATTTTATTAACCATGTAATGCTCTCTACTATTGGAAAAATACTCTTGAAATTAAGAGATGTTTTCTGTTTCTTATGCCCATAACTTTTTAAGTGTTAATAAATTGAATTAAGAAAGGTAAGAATTTGACGTCTTTTTCACTACTTTGTTTACAAGAACATTCAATTGCTATTCAAGAAATTGAACTGTCATCGTTGGAGGTATTTCTATGACTTACTTGATAATGCACCTAACCACTTATTAATACTTTTAATTATGAAACAAACAACTTATACTTCTCAACATTCTCTCCTTTAGAAATAAAACTTTCACAATTCACAAAATAATTTTATAAAAAAACAAGGACTTTGTTAATTAACAAACAATCAGATGACCATTGTTTTACATCAATAAACTATTAAACAGAAACGTATGTTATGAACTTATATATGAACATATCCAAAAATTTTATCATAAAAGAAAATAACAATGAAATTTCCATTTTAATGAAGAATAACTCTGTTATACAATTTCTTATTGTATTTTATCTTATGCATTAAGATAAAATATAAACACATTTTCGAATGATTTGTTGTGATAATTTATTAATCGTACTAATAATTATTGAAATGATTAATTGTAGAGTATTAAACACAATGTTTCTAACTGGAATTTTAAATTTATAATATTTATTAATTTATTATCATTGTACGCTATACATAATTTATTTAGAAACAAAGCAATAAGATGTTTTGAAGAGTTAAACGAATTTCAAAATGAATGACAACACAATAGTGAATATCTGTTTTAATCTTAACAATTAGTCTGGTAAAACAGCTTATATTTTCTGCAGTAGTAGATTCAAGTCAATGGGTTATGATGAGTGAATGTTTTGATCATAGATTTTGTCTTCATTTAGGAGAAGGACATTGGCATAATGAAAGGTTGAGAGAGTTTTATGGAAATCCACCATTAAGAGAATGGAGAAATTTAAATGTAGTAGAAATTAATAGTGGGCTCCATATTGGAAATGTAAATAAAGCGATTGAGTTCTGTGAATATTATATTTCTAACTTTGAAATAAAATATTGTGATAGATGGGCATATGAACAGCAAATGACTAATGTAATTATATGGACAAAACCTAATAAACTCAATGCTGTTGTAGTAGACAAATGTGATCAACTTATGTGTTTCCCTGCAGCATTACCAGCAATCTTTTCATTTTCAAATGGAAATTCAATTCGTTATGCTAAAGATGGATGTTCACCAATAGTTCTTCATAAAGGATTACCACCAACGTGGGATAGATTTTATAATTTTGAAAATAAAATAAACTAATTACAAGAATATTGATTAATCGATATAATAATTGATTTGATAATTAAAGAATCATTTCATTTTTAAAAAGTCAAAAATGAAAGAAAATAACTAATTTGTTTTATTATTTTCATGTGAAGTAAATATTTGTTCTAAAGTAACACCACTGTGTGAATTTTTCTTTTTATTTGGATTACACACATTTAAAAATCCTTTGTATGTATAACCAACAAATGCAAGATTCTTTGTATCTTGAGGTGATATTTTAGTATCAAAGTTTTCTTCTTCTTCAAAATCTTCAAAATTACTTGTATCAAACATAGAACTTAGTTTGGGAAGATAAGGAGGTATATTTTTCTCAATACAATTAAAATCAAATCCTTTAAAGAATGGATGTGCTTTAACTTCTTCAATAGAACTATATCTTTTATTGACAGGACAAATAAGATGATGAATAAGGTCTTTAACTTCATCACTTAAATCTAATCTTGATGGAAATTTGTAAGATTCTGGATAATTAACAATTT